CTGGAAACACTGGCTTTCTCTTGTGCTTCTTCCTTTCTTCCCAGAACAACTCATCGCATCCCAAACCCTACTGACACATGTTTTAGTGTTTTTTTTCCCCATATCCGGCCCTTCCCCTGCCCCCGCCCAGTCCAGATCTCAATGGGCTGCTGCAGCAGCCTCCTGACTAGTCCGTGCATCCCTGCACGTGCTGGCCTCAATCCCTTCTACGTGCCACTGTCAAAAAGAGCTTCCCGAGACCACACCCTCTCTTGACTTGGATCCTCCCAACCCAGGCTATCACTGACCACCTTGCACCTATTGGACAGACAGCAAATGCTCTGCCTGGCATTCAAAGTTCTTGAGCCCTGGCTAAGGCCTGAAAGGTTGGGCTAAGATGAGATTTCAAGCACAAAGTTACGGTTACCAGTTGTCAAGAGCTGACTGAGTGCATGCAGGGTTGTCAGTGGTCAAAGAAGGTCAAGTCTGAGGAGGAAGTGTAATTGCCAACACCTTAGCACAAGGGACAACATCCCACAGTGGCTCAGGGCCACAGAATCATTCTAGGGAAGGGAAGGAGAAGAGAGATAAAAAGCAGAGAGTGGGCTCCAGAAACAGGGACTAGATGGGCGGAAGCTAGATTTGGGGCTGAAGAGCCCTTCCGCATGAGCAGTCAGAAGTGTGCTTGCCCAGAGCCTATGATGCTGGCATCGGGCAACGCAACATGTCTGAAGCCAGCTTTGAGAGCGCTTGTTCCCCACACAGCACTTACTGTTCTCCAAGCATGTCAGGCAAGCTCAGCCTCTGACAAAGGCAAGAGTGCAGCTTCTTGAAAATTAACCCAAATTAGTTCTTTTGGTACATTTCTCCTCTACCTGAGCCCCCCTGCCATGCTCACTGCCCTTCAGAACAACTAGGTACCCCCATCCCTAGTCCTTTCCATCACTTTCCCAGCCTTGAACGTCCTTGACCCAACATTGTTTAATTCTCATCCAACCTTCCCAGCACAACTCAAGTACCACTTCTACTCCCAGTTCATGAGACACGTTCTTTTTTCTGAATTCCAGGTGAAAAAGAAGCCAGAGGGATAAAGGAGATGCTGGATCTGGATCTGCACTATTCCTCTGTCACTGAATCTGCCGTAGGTCATCAGTGACACCTGCATGCTTTTGGCTTCCCTTCTGAGGCTGATGCTGTTGGCTGGCCAAGCAAACCCCATTCCCAACCTGTCTGCCTCCACCAGAGAGGCTGGAGAGCCTAACCATTCATGTTCCCAGCCTGTTTTAATGCTAGGGTGCCCATGTGAGGGGGAGAACACCAACTTTTCCTGGCTCTTCTATTGGGAAAAGTGCTTCTCAGAAGCATCTCCTACCCCTACCTCTCCCACAGCCCCCAGCCCCACAAGGTGAGACTTGAGTTTATCTATCATTGGCTGCAACAGTGTCACCTGGGCATCCCAGCATTAGAAGAGGCTGGGGACAGAAATGTTTAGGGGACATACTAATGCTATGGAATTATTCATTGGTCCTCTGAAATGGAAGTGTTACTGGGTGTTGGTTTTCAGGCTTCTAGTGGGTTTTGCTTTTTTGGTTTTTGAGTATTTTTTGTTTTGTTTTTGGCTGAATCTTGTAGAGACAAGAGACAGAGAAATGGAGGGAAGCTGGAAGAGCTGCATGAGGAGTAGGAGGGTAGCAGAGAGGGATGTCGGAGAAGACACTGGTAGAGGAGCAATCTCACCAAAATCTATGCGACAAGGGTCCTTGGTCCTCAGGACCTGGGGGTTGGGACACGGGGGCAGAGGGCGGGGAATAACAGTTAAGAGACAAAGACTGTAGCCTAGTGGTGAAGGGCACAGGCTCCAGAACCAGGCTCTCTCAGGTCAGACCCTTGCCCCGGCGTTTACCAGCTGGGTGTTTTGGAGCAGTTGCTTACCCACCCTGCGCTCTGCGGGGGCTGCAAGGTCAGCCCTGGCCTGCCCCGCACCCACAGTGTGGACCATGGCCTGACCTTGCTCCTTCCTGGCTCCAGGCTCCTGGCTTCCTGCTGACCACAAGGCAGCACATTCTTTGGCCCCTCTAGACATGGCCTAGCCTCCACGTCTGTCCTGGCTTGAACTTGGATGATTACAAGGTCCTCAACCTTCTGCTTGCCTGTCCCTGTCCTTGGCTCCCCAGTGCACCCTCTCCTACCCGCAGGACTCACCCAGAGTGGGCTCTGTCTACTGCTGAGAAAGAAGCAACCAGCTACTGCTCTGGGGTCAGAAAGGAGGCTCAATACAGCTACTGAATAGACCCCACCCCCTTTTCTCTGCTTCCTAAGACCTTTCCTTCTGCTCTCCAGCAGTGAGTACTGGCGTGGCAGCCTATAGGTAACACATTTAAAGTTTAAAGAGAGACACAATTTAGGAATTCTGTCCAGGCCTGCTATCAGACAAGGAGGGGCTGAGGCCTGGGGTAACTTCAGGAGGACCACAAGTCCACAAGCAGCAGAGTGAGGAGCTAACTAGGTGATTCCAGAAGGAGCATCTTGGGGGAAGTCCAATTTTAAAACAGGAAAATGAGAAACTGAAACCCTCATACACTGCTGGTGGGAAGGTAAAATGATGCAGCCACTATGGAAAACAATTTGGTGGTTCATTAATAAGTTAAATATAAAATCATCATATGACTCAGCAATTCCACTCCCAGGTATATACTCAAAGGAATTAAAGACAAGTTTTCAAACAAAAACTTGAACATGAATGATTATAGCAGTTCTATTCACAATAGTCAAAATATGGAAACCACCCAAACATCATCAACTGATGACTAGAGAAACAAAATGTGGCGTACCCACACAATGGAGTCTTATTTAGCCATAAAAAGAGATGAAGTACTGATCTGTGTCACACCATGTATGAACTTCAAAAACATTATGTTAAATGAAAGAAGCCAGACACAAAAGGCCACATATTATATGATTCCATTTAAATGAAATGTCCAGAATAGGCAAATCCATAGAGACAGAAAGTAATTAGTCATTGCCAGGGGCTGGTGGGATGGGCAGATTGGTGAGTAACAACTGAGAGGTATGAGGTTTCCTTCTGGGATAATGAAAATGTTCTAAACTCAATGAATATACAAAAAGATACTGAACTATACACTCTAAACAGTCAGTTGTATGTTATGTGAATCATATCTCAATAAAGCTGTTTTTTAGAAAAATTGTCAGATGGTCCAAAATGGATTTCCATTCTATGAGACCAGGCTAAGAGAAAGACTCAAAAAATAATTTAGCAGGGAAGAAGTGAATTCTGTAATACCCCAACCCTGGTGGCTGTGGGCAGCTCAAAAGGTGGGTTACAGACCCCTTTCTGTCTCCACTGCGAGATTCTTTTCTTCTCTCCAGCCCTTGGTGCTACCGCTGCACCTCACACACCCATCTCTATTCCTCCTTTAATAAGACCAGGTTAGAGCTGCTGGCCCACCTGGCTGCTCCCTTGCTAGACCGTGGGGTGTCAGGGGGCTCAGACCACTCACTATCAGTCTTAACATCTCCAGTGCTTGGCATCTGACTGGTGCTCAATACAAAATTGTAGAGTTCATATACATTTTATAACTCCTATAACACCTATTATATACATCTCTTTTACATAAAGATCTTACTATCGCACAAGAAACTAGTAACGCTAATTGCCTTGGGGAGGAGAACCAGGTGGCTGGGGAGAGAGATGATAAAGACAATTTCCGCATGCCCTTTAGTACCTTTTGAATGTTATGCACGCCAACATATCACCTATTCCTAACACCTACAATTTTAAAAGAAATTAATTTGATTTTTAAATTGTTTTAAAATGTGACACCCCATTAACAAAGACACAGAATTCAAGCATTTGACAAAATAGTGAGAAGTAGAATATGACAGAGGTCTCAGGAGAGCAGACTCAGGCAGCAAACCCCTTAGTGGGAGGTTGAAGGGAGGGGGCCCAAAGCCCCTGGGAGACAGCAGTGTGAGATTTATGGCTCCCCTGCCATAACTCTAAGGAGGCAGTCAGACCTCTTCATTCACTCTTGGTAAAGACATCAGATCTCCTTGGGTACCACCGGCCTCAGCCACCAGACCACTGTCAATCCCAGAGTCGACACAGATTTACTAGGGCCATGTGGCATTCACATCCTCACCAACATTCCCACCTGCACACTCGGGAAGCCCCCCAGAGCTGCAGTGGCCGGAAACCAGGCAAGAAGTCCTCATCACCAAGCATATTATTAACTGATCAGTACAGAATGTGAGGTCCAGCCCTCATCACCAAAGCAGAGCCTGGAACACAGGCAAACCTCATCCCCCATACCCTCCTCACCTTTCCTTGTAGGTTTTGCCTCTTTCCTGGGCCTCCTTGTGCAAAAGGTCCCTGGACCCTCATGCTGCACCCGCTTGGGCCTGGGCAGTGATCGTGCGGTGGTGAAAAAATAGGATACAATGAGTCTCAAAGGACACCAGCCCTCACAGTGAGCCAGCATCTCCCCAAGGGATGCTTTGAAGTGGCCTTTTGATATCCCAGCCTCCCTGTTTCCCAGTAAGTTCCCTGGAGGCAGGTCAGTGTCTCTGAATCATCCACCACTCAATCCTAAGCACAGAACTGTATTAATTAAAAGATAAAATGAGGCATATAAAAACTTTTGGAATTTATCTGAGCAAAAATCGATTCAAATCAGGCAGCGCCAAACTGGAAGTGTTAGAAGTACTCCATCAATGGAAGCTGGGGAAACGCAATACAGAGAAGAGGCAAAAGCAGAGCAAGGCAGTCACTGGCAGCCAATAACTTACACCCTCGTCAGCTAGTTGTGGTTAGTTCTCCTCGGGTTTCACTTTTATATGCCTTTGAGGTCTTTACAGGCTTAGATTTTGGTTTGCTTATGTAGGTGCCGAGGGAGTAGAGCCCCCTCTGCCTAATGGCCTCCTTGTTTAATTAATTTAACAGCTCTCCCCTTTTGGCCATCCTCTCATACATGAGATTTGGTATTAGCGCCGCTCTCACTCACCGTTAAAGGCTCTCATCTCCTTGTGAAACCCATAGGCTATGATGTCAGATCCATGGAAGAATTGCGTTTGCTGTTTATTCTGTTGTTCATCTTGTTTCTGTTTCTCTACGTGCAGTGAGGCCATCTGATGAGCTGCTGATGGCTGCAAACGTGCATTTACGACCTTTGAGAGAACACAGCACACCAGGGAGACTATAAGGATGACTGTTAGGAGGAGAACACCAAAGAGGCTGAGGTACACTCCTTAGCCACGGCTCCTGTGAACCAAGCAAGTTGGTATCAAATAAATCAAAGAGTGCCTCTGATGAGATACCAACCTGTTTTAGCCAAGTAGCTTGCTTGTAAATGTCTTGTATTTGAGTTTCTGCAATAGCAGAGGTTCTGACGTAGGTACAACAGCAGGTATTCACTATGGCACAGATTCTTCCTTGTTCAGACAACAAGGATCTAAAGCAATTCTATTATCTAAAACCATCTTAGCAAGAACCTAGGGACTTCTGTTGTGCCTTAGCACTGGACTCAGCAATGGTTGCCAGAGTTAAGTACAAGTGTCTAGTCATGTCTGTCTGTACTAACCACAAGCCAGGGAAGAAGGGACAGTCCAAATGACGCCCATGCAGAGGGGTTAACATCTGCTAGTAAACTTCTTTTCAGTTGACAGTATAAGTTCAAGGGAGTGGACCAATGTGGAGTTTCTGAGGTATTATGAAGGGAAAATAGAACAGTAAATACAGCAAGAGCACATTGTCCTTTCGCCCTCCAGCTGCCAAAACCTCAACAATTAAAAGGAATAGCCAATTTGGATGATAAAATATATGATCACTGTCCTTCATTCCTCTAGAAACTTGGTAAAACATTTTGCCAAAAAAAAATTGATGGAAGTATTTTATTATGGACTCCAAAAAATAAATAAAAATAAAATAAGTAACCAGGAGGTGTACACAAGGCTCCCTCATAAGTATTACAGTCATGGACCCATTCATTGGTATAGAAGTCTTAGCATCATTCAATCAAAACTCAAATATTGTTTTATTCCATATTGAAAAACCACCTAAATATATAGGTCTGACAGCAAGCCTGCAAATGGTCTGATTTTTGCTGCCTGCTCTGCAGTGTCTTTTGTATATATATTCAATTGACCCAACATTCTTGCTCCAGCTTGAGTGCCTGATTTTGTCTTTTATATAAATGATCATAAATAATTTGATTAGAATCAGTCTTACAGAGTTCATTCAAGTTGCACATTGGAGCAATTTTAGTGCTGGCTGATTTAGCATGGAAGTCTGCTAGAGTATTTCCCTGATACTCAGGTTTTGTTTTTCTAGTTTGAGCTTCAATCTAAATCACTGGATAGCTGACAAGCCCAAGTGAGGACACATAGTTCTGCTGGTTAAGCAGAATTACACTGGGGTTGGATTCCCCTTTCCAACAGTTCACACTGATTTCTTACAGCATATCCTGTCTGGTATTTCCCTTCTGCATTCTTAGTATCGATGAAAGGTATCAAGTCTGGGTTTGTCCTAAAAGTCAGTGCTAGGGGTCAATAACCATGACACCACGTCTATACAGTTACAGACATCTGTACCATCGTCAGGCAAGGGCAGCAGGGCTGAGCAAACTGCAGCACTTAAGATGGTTAGCTAGTGAAAGGAGAAGGATCTCACAAGATGCTAGTCTGCCTGCTGAAAAATGTTGGGTCTGATCATAATTTAATAACTCAACAGTGTGAGGTCCTTGTACATGTAAGTCATACCCTAATAACCAATTCAGCTGAGGTTTCCACCAATTCAGCTGCTGCATCTACTGCTTTCAAATAGTTTGGATATGCTCTCGCTACTGGGTCTAACTATAAGCTACAATAAGCAATAAGTCTTTGTTTTCCTCCATGCTCTTGCGTTAGAACTCCTAGAGCCTGGTTACCATGCTTGTGGACAAATAAGGTGAAACGCTGAGTATATTTTGGGAGCCCTAAGGCTGGAGTTTGTTGCAAAGCTAATTGTACTTGGCTGAAGACTTGCCCATGATTATCTTCCCAGGGTAAAAAATCTCTGGAATTGAGTTCCTTCTAAGTTCACGCAGGGGAGTTGAGAACAGAGAAAACTTTGGAACTTAAGATCCACAATATCCTGCAAGTAGTTCCAAAGTAACTCCTTAATTATTGTTTATTTGTAGGTCTAGGGAAGTTTTGAATAGTCTTTCTTCTTTCAGGTGAGAGGGAAATACTTTCTGTAGTCAAATCATGTCCTAGGAGGTGGACCTTCTTTTCTGAAAATTTGAGTTTTTCCTTGGAAGCCTCATGGCCTTTACAAGCTAACAGCTGTAACAGATAAATCGCATCTACTTCTGAGTCCTGCCCTGTAGGGGATATAGCAATAAGTCATCTACATATTGAATGAGTGTAGAGTCCTTAGGGAACCGTAAGTTTGCCAAGTCTTGATGTAAAATCTGTAAAAAATAGGATGGGGCTTCAGTGAACCCTTGTGGCATTAGAGTCCAGGTATACTGTTGGTTTTTCCAAGTGAAAGCAAATAAATATTGACTCTCCTTGTCAACTGGGATACTAAAGTAAGCAGAGCCAAGACATTGTGAGTCATTTTGAGTCTGTAAGCACATCAGATAAACTATTGGGATTTGGATCCACAGGGAACCATGGTATCATAATTTTCTTAATTGCACCTAGATCCTGAACAAATCTCCAACCTCAACCATTTGGTTATATCATGGCTAAGATCAGAGTGTTACAGGGACTAGTGCATGGAATTTTAAGTCCTTGCTTAATTAAATCTCCTACCATTGGTAGTTTCTGGATAGTGGATTGATAACTTCTAGTATAGCTTCTCTTTTTAGCAGATATTGAGGCAATTTGGGCTGGGGTTTGGAATGATCTATTTGGATTTTTATGGGTTCAGTGCTCTTAATTTTGCCTGTGTCCGTTGAGGAAGAAGCCAGAGGCATTTGAGAACCTCTGAGAGATCGGGCTTCCATTCATTAGAGCCTCAGTTTCATCAAATCCTGTTTGCAGAGAGCAGAGCAGCTCAGGATCAGGAGGGTCAGGAAATTCTATGATCCTTTTCCTGCTGAGTTAAATTTCATGACTCCTCAATTTAAAAAGCAAATCTCATCCTCACAGGTTTACTGGGGCAGTGTCACGCAGAAGAAAAGTATGGCTTCCCAAAAATGGCCCTAGAGTCATCTGAACTGATTTTAGACACAGTCCAGAATTTCATAAGAAACCCCTACTATGGAAATATTCTCTTTACTCCAACAGATTTGCTGTTTTATGAAAATAGGGTTTAACGTAGATAAAGCGGCCCCAGTACTCACCAATACTGTACAGGATTCTCCATTATGTTTTATCTTAGTTTCCCTTTGCTCATTTGGGGAGATCATGGGGAGCAATCTACCAGAGGATTCCTCAGAGCCCCATCAATGTTTATTATTATTTCAGTAATCAAATTTTTTAAGACTTCCTCCAAGGGAAAAACAATCTAGATTAGTAGGTGGAGGTCTATTAAAATAATGGGTTCAGCAGTGGGACAGTCCTTTTCCAGGGCCCTGGCTGTTTACAGTGAAGGCAGACATTCCAGGGTGCAGTATTCCTGAGTAAAGGACCTCTATGTTCTGACTGGAAAAGTGAAGATCCTCTCAGCTCTTGGAGCTGTTATAACCGCAGAGCCATATATTTACTGGCTTTTTAAATTTTATCTTGCTGCAAGGTTCTTTCAGCATGCTCCACAAGGGCTGTTAATTCAGCAAGAGAGGTGGCTTCTCAGCCCAGCTTGTCTCTCTTTATATGGCTACTTATTTGGGACCAGAGCCCATTCACGAATAAGGATATCAGGGCATTTTTCTGCGCCTGCATTTAATAAAGAAAGCCTAGAATATGTCACAAAAAGTGTTTCCAATCTTGTCTCACAGACATATTTTTTGGTTCATATTTTGTTTGCTTTGCAAGACTGAATGGTAGATTAGTCAGTCTTTTGAGGAAATACCTTACCAATACTTCCAAGTAGGTCTTGGGGTATTTTTCCAGCACATTTTGGGCCATCCCTGGCAGAGTGATTAGTATTTGGGTCTTTAATACCACTCTTGGGATCCTCCCACATGGCTTCAGCCAGTCATTTTTCAGGCAGTCACCCCATCCTAATGCCATATGAATAAATTCTAGAGGTCCAGGAGTCCCGGATCATAAGCTCCAATTAGGATCTAAATTCCTCATAAAATCTTTGAGGATTCTCTTTAGGGTTTGAAAAATATTTGATGATGGACCTAAGTTCAGCCTTGGACCATGGAGAAATGATGGTTACTTCTGGTATTTCAGGCTCAGTGAAAGGCCACCCTTTAAAAGGCATTTGTTTAATCTCTGGCTCATCTTCAGAGTGGAAGGCAACTGAGTAAAGGGGTTAGTAGGTTTCAAATATTTAGGGAGTGGAGAGAACAGGGAAGGAGCAGTCAGAGTGGAGTTAGTGTACACGCCCTTTTAGGTTCACCATCAGCCTGTTGCTTAAGCTTTTCATCTACCTTTTGTAGAGGATCTTTAAAGAGGCAATTTTTGATTCAGTTTCTTAGAAGCTTTTGCATACCAATAAAAAATGCATCCCATTGTTTTGGGGAAAATCAGGACCCTTTATTTTCCTAGAACACCTCAAAAATGGATAGGCTTATCTAGGTTAAAAGTTCTCCCACTGTGGCCACTGTAATTCAAGGTTATCTTTGGCAGTCACTGGTTCAGAAAAACACAGGTTCTGAATCCATGGTATTTATACATATAGTTAGCTTGGATCCCAGATGGACGACTCCCAGATTGCTTGAACTCAGAGGAGCTCACTTTTCTCTTTCTTTTTTCCTATTATCTGAGGCCTTGCACTGGACCCAGTCCAACTTAAGTTGGTCCAACCCTAGAGCCAGTCCAGTTTCTAAGTTGACCCAGTTCAACCAAGAACCCAGTCTGGTTTGTTTTAAGTTGGCTGACCCCAGGCCCAGTAGGGAGAAAGAAATGCTCAAATAAATTCAGAAAGCTCCTTTTAAAAATGCAAAATATGCAGAACTCAGGTAAAGAAGGGACTTATCTGTGACCTCCAGACACAGTGAAGAAGCAGTGAGCTCAGTGGGTTTGTCATTGTTCCTGGAGGCCTTTGGAAGGGCTCCTTCAACCCCACTTCT